CAGGATTCTGACAAGATTTGATATTGTAGGAAATATATTACTGTCACAGGCATCCAATACTTCCATTACGTCTTCAGGCAGCTTAACATTTTTCTCTTGCTGTGACATCCAATGTGTTTTCCACAGTTCCAGTTCACCTTCGAAGTAAATCGTGTTCATTTTACTGTCTCCACTGCCAATGATAGAAGAAAATTTATCAAATGCCGTTTTCAACTGACTTAGTAGATTTATGCGTTGTTCTTTTTTTGCTCCAACTAGAATTGTTGGGATGATCCCTCTTAGACCAAAACATTCTAGGGAACTCTGACTTAGTCTTGTTGATAGATCATTTGATACATTGTCCAGTAGAGGTATGTAAATGGACCTCCTATAATACTCTTCCGGAGTTCCTGGGTGGTTTGATCTTTTTGTTTGTTTGCTGGCAAGTCGTGGCAACCTCACTTCAACGTCTACTACTTTGGCTAGCTCTGTAAATTCAACAAACACTTTGCTGAAGTTTGTTTCAACCTGAGTTCGTTTTACTTGTATTGTGGTCAGTGTGTTGGTTACAGCTTGTGATGCCATATTGGAGTCCAGGGATGGTGTTTGGAGCAGTCTACTAAGGGATAGCGTGATTTTCAGGATATCAATCAATACAAGCATTGATATCAAAAACTCAGGTGTGCATAACGAGTTTAGCAACGTTGATGCAGTAGATGATGACTTTGAATCTTTCCATGTAGTTATTAAAGTCAATGCGTCAACAATATTGGTTAGTGCAGCTCTAAATTTGATGACGCTTTCGTGGCGCTCCACCCAACGAGTTTCACACAGGCTTGATAGTTGATATCCTAAAGTTGCCTTCAAAACCTGATTCCTTTTGGCTGACATATTAAAAAAAGCCACAACTGTCTTCATCACACCCACGGCGTTTCTAATGCAAGCCACATTAACTGATGTTGAAATTGAGTTATTCAATACATGGTTCAGGCAGGGACATCTACATGCATTCTTCAAAACCTTTTGCATTTCAGTAACAGCACCTACTGATTCGGATGACATGACACTACAACTGTCGGTGCCGATGCCTACACAATCGTTTAAATCTAATGACAATTCTTGCAGCAATTTGACAACAATTTTTCCTAAGGCCTCTCCAGTTAGGCGTTGTTCACTGTCTGTATCTTGATCTAGACTTATAGACGGAATTCTTTCATATGCGTCAATGAATTTGACGAAATCTTCTCGTATTTCATTTTTGTATAAGTATCTTAGATTCAATGAAAGTTGTTCTGTGTGAGAAATATCTGTCGTTTCGTCAAATATAACTGAATAATATTTAGCATTTTTTACTTGACTCAGGATAGTGTCAGTAATTTCTTCTCCACAACAGGTAATAAGGTCATTTTGTGTCGTATTGCTAATGTAGGTGGCTCTTGAAGAAGCAGTTGACAAGTGACGTTTTAAATGCTCGTCTCCTGACGCCACCTTGAAACGTAGCAATGCCCTAAAATTACCCTCATTGCTAGGCCCAGCTGTCTCTTCCAAACAGCCGTCGTCTCGATGACCTCTTAAGGGGATGTTCTGCCGGCCCAAAAATACTATTGATTCCACTATAGGTCGAAGTCGTTCCCTATTTTCTTTTACCTGGAGTAATCGTTGGGTATCTACCTGATTTTCAACAGATTTCTGAGGATTGTGATAACTTTTAAGAAAATCAATGCCGGCTTGAACACATGACTTGTGATACAAAGTATCTTCATGGGACTGTAAATGTCCCTGCTTACCTAAAAGCTTAGCGTAAGTGGTCAAAGGCTGAGTGACGAGGTTTTGTGCTATCATACCTTTGTTGTGGCCACACCTTTCGCCGGCAAAAAGCACACAAAACTTACAAAATATTCCCCTTTTTTCGTGAGAATAAACTAGCCAACTCCTTTGTTCTAGGTGATGGTGTCCCAAATAACGTTTTAATTCCTTGCCTCCCTTTGTGTGCACCGAATGAGGCAGTTGGTACGATTTCGGTGGTACCCATGGGTTTTCCAACAATTTACACTTTGTATATTCGTCGACACTTTTATTTATGAACAATCCTATATCATTGGAGAAAATACTGTCATTGCTGGATGACTCAATCGTGGACGAAGCTTCATTTGCCTTCACGTTTTGGGTTTCTTTAGATCCAATGTTATGAATCTGAATGGAATTGACATCATTTTGTGAGGTGCCTGCATCAGATATCCCTTGATCAAGACTGAGTGTCAGTGTGTCACCGAGTTTTATGGACGCATCCTGAGTTACGTAATCTTTCTTGTCTACTTTTTTAAAGTACGAACTTATTGGATTTGGATTCAAGCGTTTCCGATCATTTTGGAATGCCTAGAACAACGAACGGAATACAATATACAGGTATACATACAAACCATAGGCAATTTAAGTTAAAATCTGTAAATAAATCAAATTAACAAATTACAAGGCATAAATTGGGAAATTTATTCCAAAAGTTTGATACGATGTTCATGGAATTTTAAGTTAAAATCTGTAAATAAATCAAATTAACAAATTACAAGGCATAAATTGTGAAATTTTTTTCAAAACGGCAAGAGGACTATTTTACATTATACTGAAAACTGGCCGATATCATACTAGAGATGTAAGTTATCGTTGTTTCCCAGCAACGCAACTTAATTTTAGTAGGTATTTTAGCAATTTATAGAATTATTGTCCTAGTTTCTAACATCATAATTTATCGTCATTACTTTTACTTAAATGGCTTTTTCCAATTATTATTATCATAATAATAATTGGAAAAAGCCATTTAAGTAAAAGTAATGACGATAATTTACAATATGTAAATATATTAATATAATTCCCAGTATCCACTTATTTTTATTTCTCAAAGCATTACCTACCGTTTTGAAACTTACGTTATTCATAGTTTAACATTAATCTATGATTTCACTCTTAATTAACTGAATGTTTATAGGTTACTAAAATAAAATACATCACTTTAAGAATTTTTTATATATAAAATCAAAACAAGTCATAAGTGTACTGCTACAATACATTTGCTCATTATTTTACAAAAATAATGGAGAATTATAGTACCTGGGAATCAGTGGAGAACTAAAATGTGAAAACGCATAAAATAACTCAGGTTTGATAGCAAACAATACGTATACTTCCTGTGAGACTTCCGACCTACGTACCATTCCCACACTCCACAGCGCAACATACACAGCGCTTAGTTTATTACTATTTGTCTATATTGCCGTAACTTAACATAACATTAACATGTGGAAGTTGCGGTGACGAGTTTAATAATTCGGTTATTTCAAGACCCACTTCCACACAACAACTAACTACCGTATCTAGATTGTCGGTACATAAACTAGTTGTCGACGATTTCGTCAAAACTATTATAGTTTTTCAAAAACGGCGTTCTGTTCTGCGGATCTGTCCGCTGCCGACTGCCGTGGCATTGTCGCAATGAAAAAAACACAAACGCAATGAATATTATAACATCGATATTTTACAATCGCTTACTGTTTGTGCCACTGCGACTTTGTTAATGTCTACACATGAGTGGTAGTAAGTTTAATGGCGGTTGCTCAATTTCGAGTCTAGGCTAACCTAACTTAGAAAACAACTAAGCCTAGGATTTAAAAACTTTCATGATCAGTACTTACCATTATAATCTTGTCCGGTGCTTGAGCTCAAGACGCTCAAATGGAGATGAACATTGGTTATATCTTGTAAAACTGTGTTTTAATAACAAACACAACAAAAAACGTAACAAATTAACAAAACGAATACTGAGCTGAGCCACAAGTGTAGGTGTAACGTAATGTGGAGGTATGATCGACACGGTGACGTACCGGATGGCAGGAAACGCGGATGCGCGCGGACGCGGTGCCACGCCCACTGCCCAGACTGCATTGCTACAGAGTGCAGAGCGGGGTTTCCCACGATTTTCCAGACACACAGTTTGTCCAAGTCTTTCAACTCTTCAGTGACACTTATAGTCCAACATGCTTATGTGCGTGTAATAGTCTATTCATGTAAATAAAATAAATGTTTAAATAAAAAAAAAAAAAAAATCTCGGGGGGGCCATGGCCCCCATGGCCCCCTCTCTGGAACCGCCACTGGTTTGCAAATCTACGCGACACGCTCTGTCCAATGAGACGTCAATGGATAAAATCGGTTAAGAAATGGCGGAGGAGTTCAACCGACAAAGTTTCATGTAGCGTATTAATTATATAGATTTTCAATTATTACTTATAAACAAACCAGTTGTTCGACTTTGGCGCTCACAAATAACATCAGATAAATATTTGATATGAACAAAATTATATTAGTTTCAAAATGGCTGGTGACAAAGATTTTTTGCTTTTTCGCTACTACTTCTAAAGAAATTTATATTCTGACTTTTTTCACAGGGATTTAGCATACGGCAATAGTTTTATCCCAATTAAAACCCCTAGATGGAATTAGTTTCCTTGAAATGCCTCAGTACTTCAAGCATTTGTTCTTGGTGGGAGAGGGCTAAGTAAAATAATCAGTATAAGATCGGAACTATTTTCCACAATATCAAGTAATCCTTAGTTAGTATAATCTTTGCTTATTAGTTACAACTGATGTGTTTCCCTTTGTAATGTATTTTGTAATTTGCTAGTATACTGTGGATGGCTTGTTATAAACACATGTGCCAAGTATTTTGTTTACTTTTTCCTTGTTATTTTGTTCAACCAACATAGTTACTTAGCAATCCATAAGGTCAATGTTACATTTTTAAATTTTCAAATGAGTTGTGTAGCGAAATACAAATTTTCCCGAGGTAGTCGCTGTCACCAATCATGTATTTAGGGCTGTGGGTCCCTAAATCCAAAATTTAGTCAAAATCCTTCCACTGGATTTCGAGATATATTACAGACAGACAGACAAACAGACATTGCTCATATTAGAGAATAAGATAAGTTTTTGCTCATATTTGTTTCATGTGTCATGTGTATGTATATTGCAGGTATGAAAGCAGTACACTTAACAATCCAACCAACCACTGATGACAAATACCTGCCTGTAGCACATACCTGTTTCAACCTGCTGGATCTACCAAGGTATTTAGCTATTAGGGGTCTCAATCCCGCCAGTTTTTATACCTAGAAATCCCGGGATTGGCATCTTTTATCCCAGGATTAACAGGATTGCAAAACCTATGTTTGTATTTATTTTTTGTGAATTTGAGGAGTTTTACTTGCGAAAAATAAATAAAGATATGTCCAATAACTCTTGAAATATATATACTCTTTACTTATAGGACAAAAAATTTTAATGTGAAAAATATGGTATAAGTTGTGATCATCATTATTGGACAATTATTCATCATTAAACTCAATAGGCGAACGTAGTGTACATATATATTTCAAGTGTAATATACATATTTTTATTTAGGCCTACTTTCTGTAAATGTTGTTATTCCTACATTAGTTAGATAAGTAGGGATGGGCCGATTCCAATTCTCGATACCTCAATACCTTCAATACACTGCAATACTCGATACTTTGCTTCATTGTACTCTATACCGATTCTGAAAAGTGAGGTTAATTATGATGCAAAACTCAACTGACATTGAAGGTTGTAAAGAGTGGCACATCATAGTTTATTTGACATACTCTGAAGTCAGCCAATATAAATAATTCAAAGTTCATTATCTCACATTCGTAATAGTTTTATAATCAAAAATAGCTTGCCTTTGCATTTCACGACTTGTTGTGTCCACCTGACTGATGACAACAGTGACAACTAGTTGGACAGAACAGAACTCTAGTTGCCGCCATGTTGTCAGATCGAGGGCAATGTTTTTAGATGGTACAAGCATTGAATATATAAATGTAATACACATATAGTGTATACAGGGTTAGTAAAAAGTGTGGAGACCCCCTGTTATTTTTTTAACGGCCCATACTAGAAAAACTAAACTCGGCACACCATTATGGCATGTTATGAAGTACTTTTTGGGCATAACCGCCACTTGGCGTTCAACCCCAAAATGGGGGATTTTGGGGGAAACTAAATGATTTCAAATACAAAGACTCATTGAGTGACCCCTCATTTTAAAGGTCCTTGGAAAAGAAAACCAACAACGCTAACTAGAGGTCTCTATCTCAGTTCAGTAAAAAATGGCAGCCAATTGAAATTCTCACAAGTTCCCAAATCCAAAATGGGGGATTTTGGGGGAAACTCAAAAATTTTATATGATAAGCCCCATCGAGTGACCCCTCATTTTGAAGGCCATAATAAAAGAAAAGTAACAATGCAAACTATAGGTCTCTATCTTAACACAGTAAAATATGGCAGCTAATTGAATATAAAATTGCAAGTTATTTCCAATTTCTAAAGATTTCAATCAGCTTCCATTTTTTACTGGATTGAGATAGAAACCTCTAATTTGCGTTGTTAGTTTTTGTTTACAAGGACCTTCAAAATGAGGGGTCACTCAATGGGGCTTATCATTTAAAAATGTTGGGTTTGGTAAGCAAGTGGCTATTAGGCTTAAAAAGTACTTCATAACATGCCAAAAAGGTGTGTAGAGTTTAATTTTCCTAGTGTGAGCCGCCACAAAATTTACAGCAGGTCTCCAGACTTGGAAAGCTGTAAGTTAAATTGAACTTCTGAGAATTTCAATTGGCTGCCATTTTTTACTGAACTGAGATAGAGACCTCTAGTTAGCGTTGTTGGTTTTCTTTTCCAAGGACCTTTAAAATGAGGGGTCACTCAATGAGTCTTTGTATTTGAAATCTTTTAGTTTCCCCCAAAATCCCCCATTTTGGGGATGTACACCAAGTGACGGTTATGCCCAAAAAGTACTTCATAACATGTCATAAAGGTGTGCCGAGTTTAGTTTTTCTAGTATCGGCCGTTAAAAAAATAACAGGGGGTCTCCACACTTTTTACTATCCCTGTATAGTCAATGGCACTAGTATAACTTGCGTTTTCTAACTCATGTTAGGGTTTTTTTACATTTTCATTAGCAGCTTAAGAGCTTGATAACTTGCTAATCTTAGTGTATAATCATTGACTATAAACACTCTTCATGAGAATATAATCAATGGTTGATCCTTTAAATGTTAACATTGACCTTATGGGTTGCCATGATGGTTACAAAATGAGAAATGACTACGTAAATGTAAACAAAACCAAGAATCATAGCACATGTTTAAACCTTAAAGAAACAAAAAAAGACTTGATTGAACTCATTAATATAGCCAGAAATTCAAAAGATAAATACTGTTAAAGTAAAGCAAAAGAATCACATTTTTTAAATAGTCTGGTTGCAGGTCAAAAAACCTGGAAGTAAGGTCCACCCAATGTTTTTAGTGGTTTCTGTTTCTTCAAGACATACATAATTAAAATCTGCAGGGTGCCACTTTGTCACCCTTGAGCAAATTGAAATATTCAAGATGGCTTAAAAGCTGTATACAGTATCTGCTGTATCTTTCCCTATAGAAGAGACAGGATAATCATTTTGTGCCTAATTTTATGTTTTAATTGGAAAATTACCCAAACTAATCAATCAATATAAGTTTTTAATAATTTCCACATTAATTTGTTGCGAAGTTACCTTATCAACAATGTTTTCAAGTATTTACTTGACTAAAAACATTATAAATCCATGGTTTCTGCAGGCCCACTTTTATAAACGGGCAGACTGGGCATATGCCCAGGGGCGCCGGTGGTTGGGGGGCGCCCGAGGGGCGCCCTGGACCACCGCCCGCACTAGGGTTTAAACAGGGTTTTACCAGCCGGGATTTCAAAAATCAAATGGGTGATTTCAACTTGTAGTTAAGTGATTTTGCCTTATTGCAAAAGTAAATAAATACAACAAAATTTAAAATACTTGAACTTCAGGTTATACCTCGTGTAGTCAGGGAAAGGGAGGCAGCAGTGTGAACCGGGCGCACTCACTATACTATCAGAGGCAGAGAGGCCTGCATGGTGGAAGGAAAATACATAGGTGTGCTATTCCCGTCATATGCTGACGTCACTCAGATTGCAAACACCATTTTACCATTGAGAAAAATTATCAAAACGATAACAATCAAATCAAAACAAATATATACTGATGTGGCAATACATCAGATGATTTTTTTTGCAATTTACGCGACGTCAGCCAATTACGGGAATAGCACGTAGGCCAGCTGTAGTCTACAGGCCTACGGTTGACTTGCCCCTCCTCTCTCTCCCAGTCCCACCCCCATCCCCACAAGTCACAACTAACTACTACCAACTACCGCGCTGCGCCAGTCCAGTACATTAGTAGCCTACAGTAGTACTACAGTACTCCTCCCTTAGTAGTCAGTAGGTTGTCTTCGTGTTGTGCCTGCAGGGCCCTGTTTCATAAAAACACTAGTCTAGTAATTACTAGTCTAGTAAATACTAGTCCCGTATTTACCCGTCCTACTAATTTGTGTTTCATAAACGTTTTTATACCGCTAGTAAATACTAGTGTATTTTACTAGTCACGTGACCAAAACTACTAGTCACGTGACCAACTTTACAAGGTAAATTCTCAAAACAAATTTCTAACCTCAATCACGGGTTTTCAAACCATTCATAAAGGGATTTAATTTGGTTTTCATTTGATACAAAAAGTAAATAGTTGTAGAAACGCAGTGTTTTCTTTAAATTAATAACTATATAGACACATAAGTAAAACAATCACATATTATTTATCAAAACGCTATTATTTATGTTCGTCAATGAGCCCGCCGACAGCGCGGCGCGGCGTCGCGGCGCTGCAATCAACACGGTGATTGTAGTAGCCGGTTGTAGGCCTAGTTGCGGCGCTCAACAGAGTTGGGTAAAAAAGTTGATCTGTTGCTGTCGCATTCACACAATTTGTATGGTTTTTGTTTTATTCTGACATATAAAATTTAGCTTGCTATGATTAAAGAAAAGAAGGCTTAAATTTTGAATGTAATTAAATCGTCTAAGGACATTTTGTTTGGAACGTTTTCAAGTACCCTAACCTATGTTTTCAAATATTCGAATGCATAAGAATATTTGGGTTGAAAACCATTTGGTGATATTCTAATTTTGAGTCTACAAACCATGAATAATAAGCCTAAACGTTTATTGATGTAACAAATAATTGCAACGCCGTTACAAGCAATAGAGAAGTAGGTTTTCAAGTATAGTAAAACATGGCATAGGCGCTACGGCAGGGCTTAGCTCAGAGACAGAGTTCTCGCTTGTCATGTGGTCGGTCCCTGGTCCAAATCTGCGCCACTCTACTTTTTATTGCATTAATTAAACTTTTACATGTTTTTACATTAAAATAACAGCTCTAATCAACATCTATTTTTTTTATTACTTTGAATAACAAATCCAGAATACCAAAATGGATTGAAAGTAATGTTTTTATGATAAGCAGTTAAGTTCAACGCCCAAAAATCAAATATAGGTCTACAAAATTGTTAGTACATCACAGGGTTTTAGCTATTTACGGAAGCAAATAATAAGCACCTCAAAAAATACAATGCAACTCCTTTTTAAAATTGCCTTACTATTATTTCCTGTTAAAATGTCTTTAAATAAAACCGAGAGCCTTAATTGGGTGTAAAATAATCTGATTAATACATTTTTGTACATCTTTGTATTCAAAACGATATGCGGTTTTAATTTGGTTCCTATCAAAGCTTAAAAATTTTTTCTCTGTGATAGCTAAATAGTTGATATAACCATGAAATTTAACTCAAGTAAAATTAGACTAAAAATTCACAGAAATTGATAACTTAATCATAATTATTCTAATAGGGCGATTGTACATACATTATAAAATTGAATTTCACTCATTTTGTACCACGCCACATTTATTGATTGTAATTTATATCTATAATAATTATCATTTTAGCACTCACAGATCTATTCGTGAGCCAATTCGCACTTGCAAAAAGAACTTAATAATTCGTTTTTTTTAATGATGTGAGTAATGAAATAGCTCTCTTTCCAAAAATACTAGTCTACTTCAAATAATACGGGTGAAGAGAGGTTGGTAGAAAATAGCAAGTATTTACTAGTGTAATTTACAAGAGTAAAACTTTATGAAACACATTGC